GCAATAACTTGTGGAATAAATAAAGCATTTTAACAGCTTCCTTTATGAGAAGATGGCAGCTGGGGAAAAGAGTGGACATAAAATAAACAGTGGGAGTGATGGAACAGTTTGGAAAATGAATCCCTATGCTGCAGTACAATGATTTTCCAGACAAGCATCAAATGGACATATCTTGTTGCGTGCTGTACCTCTGCTAGTGACTGTGAATATTTACAGCGTTTAGTGTGTGGGAAGCAAAAATTCATGACTTCTGTGTGTGTACAAGAATAGATGCTCAGGATGGATTATAGGGCTTGCATCTGGTCTTGGATAGGCTTGGGTGAATCCAGGATGACTCTAAGTTATTGACTACACTGTGAGAATTGAGAGAATGTAACTGAAACCAGAATCTGGCTCTCAATTTGTTCATATCTATCTGCTCTAACATTGCAACAGATGGTCAATGACACTTTCTGGGTACTTGGCCACTGCTGCTTGCTACCTCACCTCAGTTATTTCATGAAAGATTTGCCTGGTTATGGTAGCATTGGAGTGATGTTGTAGTTGTGGTGGTCCAGAAAATAGTTGAGAAGCAATGAATTTTAGGGGTGATATCTTTGATTGGACAAATTGCAAAATGGGGATAGACTTAGAAGCTTTTAAATGCAGTCAATTCTTCAAGTCGGATTAGTCCTTGTTGTGCCTTCTTTTGCCTCAGACCTGAAGAATAATGCACTACATTTGAAAGCTTGTCTAAATCTACCCCAGCTTGGTCCAATAGGAGATATCACCCACATAAATCTCTGCCTTATTATGATTGGTTACTTTTTTGTGGTTAAAATGGATTGAGGAAGTTGCAAGGACCCTACTGCCCCTGCTCCATTGCTACAGGAAACTCCCGCTTAGCACTCTTAATTGGTTCCTGAAAAAACGAGCGTTAAGTGAAACCAAAAGTATTTGTTGATGCAAGACAGTGACCGTAAGTGTTTTTAATGACCCAAGATGACAACCATGAGTGTTAAAGCAAAACTCGCTGAGTGCTAAGTGGAATCAGGTATCAATTTAAAATGAGCGGTATAGCGAAATAGCGCCAAGTGAAACAGCATTAAGTGGGGGTTGCCTGTATAACTAATTACGGTGTCACATTTTACAAGCAACACTTGTTCCTAAACCCAGGCACAGTGGTTAACATTTGTAACTGCCTGTTCTGAGGCTTTAGGGGGTTTTTTATTCCCAATACATTCATGTTGTATGAACTATATTGTAAATATATTCCTGTTATGGATACAACTGTTGAATACTCCTTTAGAAATCTTCCTAGCCCTTTGTTTCAATAATATCTTGTAGCAGTGAGTTCCACAGACTAATCATACATGAATAAAAGAGTACCCATTTTAAACTTATTTTATTTCATTGTTCCATTATTTTTATAGGTGTCATGCTCCATATGTATATCATCTTGTAGTATGTAGACATCTGTTATGTCATGTCTTCATTTTTATCAAGTGAAATAGATCTTTGTAACCTTTCTACATGTGGAAATCTTCCAGTACCTCTAATGAGCTTACTTGTTCTTCTCTGGACTTAAGTACATTTTTGAAAGGTGGGAACCACATCTAAATGCACTGTCCAAGATGGAGTTGCATAGTAATATAGAAATTATCATGTTGGATCAGACCATTGGTCCATCTTCTAGTAGTCTGCCTCTGGTAGTTGCCATTGCCAGATACTTTAAAAGAAAAGTGCAGTCACCCTCAAGTGATGTGTACATTTATGGAATAGCCTGCCACAGAAAGTTTTTCCATCCTGCAGTCTAAGCAGTTCAACTGTGCCTTGAAATATAAGATTCTGTATTTCTACTTATTCAAACCCTTTTTAAAGATTTGCCTGTAAGTATTACTAAAAATCAGAAGTTTAATTCTGATTTCCAAGATTTCTCTAAATAAGGAAGAGAAGTCCTTGGATATTGATGAAAACAGCACAACAGAAATTAACTATCCCTCGATACAAGGATGATGTCTGCCAGGAGGGTGTGGGGGATTACTAGTAAATTTGAAGGGGGCTGAGGAGTCCAATCCATGCCCTGAAAGTTTTTCCACAGATATGACAAGTGGTGTCTTGGTGTCGGGGGCAACTGTTGGTCAGGATGTTGTGAGCTTTCCTTCCTCCTCTGCGGTTTCTCGGCCTTCTGGGCAAGATGGTTCTCTTTGAAGTAGGCTGTACCTTGATGTACGGTGCAGCACCATTGAGACCTGTTACCAGCCAGTTACCAACCTATTACAAACCCCCAATTTGTAGGGTTGATGCCTCCCTTCTTAAGGTTCACTTTCAGGTTGTCCTTGTAGCGCTTCCTCTGTGGGTTGTCTTTCCATGACTAAGTTGAGAGAAGACGACTTGCTTTGGCAGATGAATGTCAGCCATCAGCACACAGTGGCCAGCCCAGAAGAGTTGATGGTTCATGATCTTTGCCTCAGTGCTGGTTAAGTTAGCTGGAGAGAGGATGCTGGCATTGGTGCAGTGGTCTTCTCATCGCTGCTATACTAGGGGATTACATCAAGGGCTCAGTGACCAACTGTTCACCAGGGCACCCAAAGGAAAAACCAGGAGTAATGGCCACAAACTCCTGGAAGATCAATTCAGACTCAACATTAGGAAAACCTTCTTCAGTCAGGGTGTCTAGACTGTGGAATAAGCTCCCTCCAGAGGTGGTGCAATCACTTACCCTGGAAATCTTCAAGAGGAGAGTAGACCAGGTGTGGCTGGTGAACTCAGACTGGTGGAGTGTCCCACAGGAGTGGCGGGGGGGTGGAGGGGGGCTTGCAGTCAGCTGGCAGTGGGGTGGGGGGGGTGCAGGTTTGCAGCCAGCCAGGAGCAGGGGGGTTTGCAGTGCCTGGCCAGCTGCAAACCCCGCCCCACTGCTGGCTGGTTGCAAACTCCCCCTCTTCCCCACTCCCATGGAACGCCCTACCGCCCCACCAGTCTGAGTTCATCAGTCGCATCTGGACTAGACAGTCACCTTGCTGGGGTCACCTGACCCCCAGTTATCTTTCCTGTTTGGTGCAGGGGGCTGAACCTGATGATCTTCTGAGGTCCCTTCCAGCCTTACAATCTATGAACCTATAATGCAAAGAATCTTCCTGAGGCAATGCTGATGGAACCATTCCATGTGCTTAAGATGGCTTTGCTATGGCACCCATGCCTCATCCATAGAGGAACATGGAGATAACCACTGCAGTGTACACCAGGATCTTAGTTCCCATCTGCAGATCTCAGTCAGCAAAGACATGGTGAAACAGCTTGCTGAAGCATGTGCTGGTACAGCAAATCCTGTGTTTTGATTTCTACATCAAGACTGACTGACTGGGAGAGGTGACTACCAAGTTATGGGAAATTCTCAATGTTTTCCAGGGGTTTTCCAGCAATAGTAATTTGTGGGGGGGAGGAGGGCAGCTTGTGTTGGGGCAGGCTGATGGAGCACATTCATCTTCCCAATGTTAAGGGAGGGTCCAAGGGTATGATAGTCACCTGAGAAAAAGGTCAAGGATAGACTGCAAATCGGTCTCAGTGTGCACAATGATAACACAGTCATCAACCTACTGAATACTGGTGATGCCAGTCTTGGTAACTTTTGTTTTGCTGTAAAGGTGCCACAAGTTGAAAGGTTTACTGTCCATTCGATACTCAACATCAAGTCCAGGAGGAAGGCGGTTACAGCTAAGAATCAAAATCACAGCAAGATGGATGGAAAAAAGGGTTGGGGCAATGACACAGCCCTGCTTGACACAAGTACAGATGGTAAATGGGTTCGTCTCTGATCCATTGCAAAGGACTGTGGCAGTCATCCTGTCATGGAGTAGCCTGAGGAGACTGATAAACTTAAGTGGGCAACCAAATCTAGCCAACACTTTCCATAATGCTACATGATTGATAGAGTTGAGGACCTTGGTTAGGTCAATGAATACCATAAACAGCTCCTGGTGTTTCTCTCTACACTTCTAGGTCTGTGCAACAAAAATCATTTTGGTGGTACTCCGTGATGATCTAAAGCCACACTGTGATTCTGAAAGGACTTCTTCAGCAAGGGGGAAGAGGCAATTCAGAAGTATGCTAGTAAGAAACTTCCCAGCAACAGAGAGGAGGGCAATGCCTCAGTAGTTCCCAAATGCTAACTTGCCCCCTTTCTTGAAGATGGTCACAGTGTTAGCATCCTTTAAGTCGGGTGGAACTTCCTCGTTAACCCATATTTTGATGAGAAGTTGGTGACGTTTTTGTGCTAGTGCTATTCCATCGCCTTGAAGACCTCTGTGGCAATGCTATCTGGGCCTGGTGCCTTTTTTGATCTTGGTCTGAGTGATGGCATGCCAGACTTCCTTGAAGGATGGGGGATCAGCAAGAGATTCTATGACTGGATGTTGAGGGACAGACTTGATGGTGGCAGCTGAGACCTCAGATTTGCAGTTGAGTAGAGTCTTGAAGTGCTCCTTCCAGCATTGCTTGATGGTGGGTACATTGTCCATGAGAAGGGTGGAGCCGTCCTGGTATTACAAGAAATTGGGCCATTGGAACATGACCCATGGGTGGCTTTTATTGCTTGAAAGGAGCTTCTAATGTCATGTTGGTCAGTGAAACTCTGGATTTCCATGGCCTTCACTTGCTACCACTGGTTCTTGATAGCCCACTCTGAACTACAGCTTTGAGCCAGTAGTAAACCTCTCATTTTCGCTGCTTGCAGGGTTCATTTTGCCACCTGCAGAATGTGGGTCTCTGCTGATGGCTAAGTGCTAGGATTTTCTCATTGTTCTTGTCAAACCAGTCTTGGTGATGGTAAGTGGAGTATCCAATAGATTCAGCACATGCCTTGTGAAAACAGCAATATAGTAAAAGGCAAGGCCAGATTTTATGTAGGACTTTCACTCTTGATGAAGTATTTCTCTGTGAAATACAAAAATATTGTTAGAAATCAAAAGGCTGGGTTTTTTTCCTTAACTGCTTTTCTTTTCTTTTTTTTTTTTAATCTGCAGATCTAAACGGCCAGCACCAGTTCCAACAGCAATGCCCAGAGTTGACTCTCCCAGGCCGGTAATTCCCCATCAGAAGGTATGTGGCATATTTTTCTTCCTCTTAAAACATGAGCATGCTTTATAAAACCTAAACCAACACAAAAAATAGCCCTTTCTCCCTACCCCAAGTATATGCATTAATGGAATGCACAATATGTGAAGTGTCACAATTGCTAAATAAATGTAATACAGTGATGAACTTTCCTTTTCTAGTTGGTATTTGCAGACCTGGAGCAGCTATTCATTATTTGCTTGGTTTCTACAACACTAAACTTGGAGCAGCTGGCACATTCCTGTCTCTTTCATTGTGTTCCCTTACAGCTTGTGGTTATCTATCAGAGCTCCACAAAAGATATAGCTGCTTTCTAGAAAAAATCCTAATAATCTGTGTCTCAGCTCATTTAAAAATTCAGTAAATATGACAACATATTGACTTGGTAAAAACAAATTAGGGCATTTTAAAAGCTAGTGCCATTCTAGCTTGATAGGCTTATTGTGTTAATCTATAGATCTCCTACAAAAATAGAAGGATATTAAATTAAAGTTGAGCCATAAATGATAAGGAAAGTGGACAGTTCTGTTTCTGCAGTAAAAATCCAACATCTCCCATGAGAGAGAAATACTATATCACAAAAATACCATGGATATTCAATTACTCTTATTACATATTAAGATGTGACTAACCAGTTAATCGTATCTTAAATTGTTACCTGGCTATATGTTAATGCAATTAATGACTTGATAAAACAAGGAATAAGGTATAAAGTTATTACATAAAAAATGTGTAATAACTGTGGCTGATTCCTATCATACCATTAATTGAAAGTGTGGCCAGGCTGGGACTCCCAGCTGTGGGGTGCATCTCTGGGGCTGGGAGCCCTCTCAGCTGATAGAGCTCCCAACTCTAAGAGCTCACCATTTGCCCCCAAGACTAGAATCCTTTAGCTGACGGGGCTCCCATGATCCCCGTCATGTGTGCCCAGAGCTGGGAGCCCCATCTACTGATTCAGACTCTCAGCCATGGAGGCACATGTCTGCCTGGGGCTTTAGTGTCGTTCATGTCAGCATCCTCTGTGGCATTACAGAAGAGCATGAATTGTTTGAAAGACTATGTATCTTTTTCCTCCCAGAGGTTTTCCCTCCATATCTGAGATATATCATATTGGCAGGACAGTGGAGAGTAAATTTGCACTGTCTGTGTTCAAGCTGTTCCAATTAATTGACTAAACACAGGGGGCTCAATAATCCCTGCTCTTATCAATCCTACTCATTTAGTGAGTGCCAACTTCAACAGTTATAACTATATACAATAATGAAAGAAAATCAACAGACTATGTCAGATCCCAAATCAGAAGCAGAATGGGCATGCCAACCTTATGAATCGCTCCAAAATACTCTGCCTTCCGGTTTCAGGGTTCAGGAGATTTGTCTCCATGTAGCAGCTGCTGACATTTTGAAACTCACCTAAAAGAGTGAGCTTGAGGAGTAAATGGTTAGGTTTTATTTATTTATTGAATTTGAAAGGAAGTAATTTGGCCATTTTGTGACTGAGTCAGAAATGTTACATCAACTGTAGTCTCTTTTTGATATTGGGCCAAGGGAATGAGACATGCAAAAATTGACTTTGCTGAGAATATTTTTCTTCCATATTATTGCTTCTGAGGAATACAGAAGGTTCTGGGATAAAGGGATAGTCAATGTGTATGCCCCTTGCTTCATTCAGGGAGATTGGAAAAACGCCTTCCTCTTCTTACATTGTAGTAATGGAGCTTATAAATTTACATAGTGACTTTGTTGAGTTGAAGGTTATTGGAAAGGAGTCACTGGACAGCAATATGAGCTTTCATGGAAGAGAACTTCCTCTCGCTGCGCCATCACAGGAGGGAATTGTTTTCTGTCCTGCCCCCTTCCCCCCCGCCCCCCTCAAAATCCCTTCAGAGTACTGTTAGCCTCCAAAGCAGCTTGAATGACTCAATAGACTGTCTCTCCATACACTGAAATTTTTATATGACCATATGTCATTCAGGTCTTTTAGTGACATCTGGACAGATGTGACAGAATTGCATAGCTTAAGCATTTGGCGATTCATGATCATGTAATAGTTTTTCCACACCATATTTGAATACTCCATAATTATATGTTCTCCTTGCCAAAAGTTGATTTTAAAACCTCCTCAGTAAGGAGATCCCATATTGCAGCTGTTCATATTTCAGAGCCATTTATATCAGGTAAAAAGATACGGGCAGGGGAAAGGTTAAATGCATACTACTAAGATGCTTACAATATTTTTTTTATTTTAGCTGAGCAATAGTTGAAGTGTCATGTTACCTTATTTCCTATCTAATCCTATAGCAGGATGCAAGGATTAAAGACCTTGAGTCACCAAAGCATAGAAATGTATTTTCCAAGATCATGTTAGCTTGAATTTAAGTATTCTCTCAGCTGGGAATAAGTTATATGTGGGGGGGATTGTTTTTGGTACCGGAAAGAAACTGAAAGCTGGCAATCAGCTAAGACTGCTTTCTAGGGTATATGGGGGAGCCAGCAGGTAGGATGTGAACGATGTTGCATGTTTTGAAGCAAGAGGGATGGTGGTTGAACATATAACCAGGAGGAGTGAGGGAGCCCATAGGAACAGAGGACTGGAGGAGGCCAATTAGGCTATTAAGTCCAGTGCCCTACACTGATAGGCATTTTTTTTACCAAAGTAACCCTAAAATTGCTTGTTCAAATCCTCACTCACAACTACAAGGTAGGGTACCTGAAACACCAAGAATGCCCTGTATAACATGCCATAGGTAAAAGCAGTGAAGACACGAGCACTACCAGTGGCCTGCCATTGCAATGACAGTGATTAATATATGCTCAGAAATCCTAGGCAAATGACCATGCCTCAAGCTACAAAGAAAGACAACTGTCCTTCCTACCCTCTACAGTCCATGCCAATCTGACATGGTGGAGGAGGTAAAATTCTTTTCTGATCCCAGGTTTGGTGATCAGTAGGACCTTGAGCAGAAGAGCAAGACCCTCTAGTCAGAAAGGTCTGGATTTTTTACGTCTGGGCAGGAGCATCGGTGCACCCCAGTCAAAAATTCCAGCTTTAGCAGTGACCAGTTTCCTAGGGCTTTAGAGGAAGGTGAATCTTCTTTCTATCAGAGGCCAGTAGCATTTATAAAGGGGAAAAATTCCTTCCCAGCCCCAACTAGTGGCTAGCAAAAGCCCTAAGAGATGTCTAAGCTCTCTGTTCAGCTAGGGCATCTGCTTGACAAATAGAAGGATTGCAGTAGCTGAGAATCAGTTTAGGTGGTTTCTGTGCTAAAAGATTGTCCAAGTTCAATAACTGAAATAAGTCCTCTTTGAGTGTTTTGGGAAGGAAATTATTAATGCTTTGAAACTCTGGAGCAGAGATCTCAAATATAAAAAAAGAACTTACTGATGTAAACTGTAGTTTCATGTATGTGAGGTAAGGCATGTTTCAGGAAATGCATTTTTTAAATTAGTTTTGTTTGCTTGTCATGGTTTTTAAACAAATTCAGATAACAATAGCACTGTTGCTATTGGCTGGCTGGAATGGCTGGTTTACAGAACTGTCAATGAGATTGAAAGTCAGTTTTTCCCTTTTAGGTCACTAATTCCAGTCCAGGTTGGTAGTGTTAGAATCAGTTGGCTATTACTATGGCCTGTATGAAGAGTTTGATTACATTTCAGCTCTCAGACTGTAAGAGGCTATGTTGCAAAACAATCAATACAGAGTTGTCCTTTCACCAGCGTACTCTCACCTGGAGTACTGGTCTTCCCCACACAAGGTTATAGTAGGGTTAGGGCAGTACAGGGAAGTTTGCTCACTTTTATGCAAGATCAGTAATTAGTATTATTTGTTTTCTCTGTTGAACATTATTGCTGATCCAAATGTAATTGCTACTGGTTTGCAAGCTTGTGTTTCTATTCAGTTCCTGCCAGCAGCTGATTACATTTTAGATTAAGAATTTATAAGTACAACTTCGGCCTCTTTCAGGTTGGGAGGAATGTCTGAAATGGATGCAATATCTGTGACACTTTATATGAGAGAACAACTAAGCCATGAGGCTGCTAAAGGAAAAGAAAGGTTTGACCAGGTTTTCACATTTTCCTTATCAAACAATAGGGTGTAACTTGAAACAGTACTGATCTTAGGTGATTCGCATGCTATAGGTGTGAGGTACATGAAAGAACAGAGAGACATATCCAAGATTGAAGGCATTTGTAGGTAGAGTCATTCAAAATGGAGTAGGAAGAATAGAGGGTAGAGTAAAGCTTTATGTATGCTGGTTGAGAATCACTGGTACAGGCATTATGTCTAGGTATTTAATACAGTATCACATTCTGTACTCTCTCAAATACAGCAATGTAAATTGTAAATGTTACTATTTTATTAAAGTAGCACTCAGAGATCACAACTAGGACCTGATTGTGCTCATGAGCTAGATAATCCTCAAAATGTATATGTATAAAATGACCTACAATCATATAATTGGAGGCAAGATGGTATTGCACAATAACCTATGTGACAGGAGAACTGGATTTTATTTCTGGCCCTTCTAAAAAATGCTTGTTGTATGATTTGGGGGAAGTCATTTAACTCCCCTATACCTCAGTTTCCCTGTCTGTTAACAGGTGATCAAAGTGAATAGATTCTTCACAGGTGAGTTACGAGTCTCAGTTAGTTAATATTTATGAAAAACATTGAAATAATTTAGATAGCAGTATAAACAAACCATATAATAACTATGCTGAAGTATTGCGTGATAAGGTCCAAGTCAAGAATGTACATTCAGAATTAAGGTTCATATTCCCAACATAAGCAGTACAGCTTAACACTACATTAACAAAATATCCTTCTCTATGGTACCTTGACCTGCCTTGATACTACATGGGGATTTACAACCCTGGAAGAAATCCTGGCAAATTAATGCTGATGCAGTAGGCCTCCTTCAGCCTGAGAACAGCTGTATTCAGGTTCACTTTATTTCACGCAAGTAGAGAATTTGGCCAAACATC